GTGTGTTTGTAGTACCAATACACATTCCATTACAACAAAAAGGTTAATTTACATCTGGGCATAAACAATAAAAGTTCATTTAAATTGAATACTTTGCTTTGCCAAAAATGCCGAAGTTGGTTCCTTCGAATTTCTTTGGAAACTTTTGCTTCGTTTCGAGTTGGCTGGCAAACACGTTAACAGTTCGCCAACGCGCAAGTTGGTTGCAGGAAAACGGAACTGGTGATGTAAAGCCTTCATAACCTTTCCAAATGAATACAATAATCAATCAAAGATGTTGGCTGATGTACCGAGTGCTGGATAATAAGTTGTCTGTCAAAGATTTGGCACAGATTTCAGAATGCTAGTTTAACATTTTGCCTTCACGCGTTGGAAAGTTTTTAAAAGTAAAGTCATTAATCGCCAGAAAGTGTCAATGAAGTTTGTTTAAACTTTTTAACTGATTACGTTACAAAAAAGTTCACACAGAATCTATTAAAACTCTTCAAATTTAAATGCAATACATATTCGGTGGAACAATAGAAAATATGATGAATTACTCATTAATATATGTATGTGTAAATGTGGTGGTTTTATGGATATATGAGTCATTGATGAAAAGGAACTAAGAACTAGATCAAACAAGTAAAAATGCATTAAATTTGTACCTTCAACGATAACTTAAAGAAAATCATTAAAAATAAAAGAATCGGGATTGCAATAAGAGAATAGAGATTCATTTTTTTTTAAATAGAAGTCGGTAATTAAAAAGTCTTAGAAATGCCAATTTCAAATACCAAATAAAACAAATAAAAAAGCAGATAAGTCCGGCTGGGCCGAAATTTGGAAGGAACTTGAAAATTTTCAAAAAAATTCCGAAAAGTACCACTGAAATGAAAACCGTTATATGGGGGTTATGCGAATACGTGGACCTGCATACGATTTTTTTTTTGTTTGCCACAGGCTGTTGTGGGCATTAAGATCATCCAGTACGAAATACGACATGATTCCGGTGAATAATGTTGCTGAAATCATCAAAATACCGATTACCTGCATCAAAATACAGGACCTGCAAACAAAAATTTTTGTCATAGGCTGTAGTACCCATTACGAACTTCAAATATGAAATTTGTGGGGTCTAACATGAGTATTACAAGGAGTAACAAACGGAATGACAAACTTATACCTCCATAGTATGGTGGAGGGTATAAAAACTGTTAAAAAATGTGCTTAAAATCACCAAGCTACCAAATATTCAAAAGTACCGCCTCATGAGTAATATGGGAACCATTGAGCCTATCTGCCACAGAAGACAGAAACATATGCATATCAAATATTAAAAAAGTGGCTAAGATAATGCCGGAAATACCGAAATATGGGGGATATAGCAAAACAATTCCCGGTAGAGGCAATGAAGTGTCACAGAAGGTAGAACCCCTATGAAATTTAAATCATCATAACCCCTATGAATTTTAAATATGAAAACGTGGACCTATGTACATATGCAATGGTGCCGTTGCAAACTCATGGTGCCGAATATTAATCAATGCCATTATAAAATTTACTCAAAATCAAAATTTCGATTTAACGGAATTGTGAAGTATTCATTGCATACATTCAATTTCGTTAGATCGTCCAAATACCGATTTGGCTGAAAATTAGTATTTTGGTATCTCCGTGTAGAGAAAACTTTCCGACTGAATATGTTTATTATAAATAAAATTTTTAAAAAGGTTTATGACCCTGGGAATTTAAATAAACCCAGTTAAGGCCAAATCGTATTCTAAATACGATTTCTACATAATAAGAGATCACAATTCCCAAATTGGAAAAGATGTTAAAAACATAAAAAATACAAAGCAAATGTTTCAAGAAGTGAACCGATATGACACATTTTTTGTACCAATGATTCTGGGTGTAATCCAAATTTAATTTAAATATTACAAAATATATCTCAATTTTCAGGGGTACCGTTTAACATTGTCAAAATTATATAAGACCTTACCAACATTTGCCCCAAGAACCCAGGATTTCTTTGGGGTTCTGATCTAAAAACGGGTACTATAAGTCTATTTGTCATTTTCCACAACTCAAACCGGATATTGTAAAGTGAAATTATAAGAAAATTAGCGGTGAGTTGAAGAGAAGTGCTAGTTTTTCAGAAATAAACAAGCTTTTATATTAGCAAAAATATATTATATATTTTTTTAAATATACATAAGTATACAAATTTCTGTTGCGTTGTTGTTAAAGGGAGATTTGACTCGTATTGGATACGTGTTAAATTAACAGCTAAGAAGCATACATAATTTTCACTATTTTAATGTAATTTGCATAAAACCTATTGTACCTTGATATATTGTTTATTCTGAGATTAATAGTGAAATTTTGGTTAGAATATTACTTCTTTTGACATTTTCCGACTTGAACAAAATTGTATGTTACTTTCAAGCGTAAAGAATATTTTGACTAGTTACGATACCGCTTAAAGTAAGCTTTTTACTATATTAAAAAAAATACCAAAACGACCCCTTGATTGATTCGCTTCACGATTAAAATTTTTAACCAATATTCCCCCTATATTTTATCTGCAATTTTATTATTAAAATTATACTATTAAAAAAAATTATATTAAAAAAAATACCAGAACGACCCCTTGATTGATTCGCTTCACGATTAAAATTTTTAACCAATATACCCCCCAATGTTTTATCTGCAATTTTGCCTAAGACACTATCTATAAAATGTATAGTATCCAAAAAATCTTCATCTGAAAATTTCCAAAAGTGTGGAAGAGCGGGAAATTTCCTCTTCTATTTTGGTTACTTTTCCAAGTAAACTTTCAAAACGCCGATACCATACATAGTATGGAGGGTATTCGTTCTCATTCTGTTTGTAACTCATCGAAATAATCCTTTTAGACATAACAAAGTATTTATTCGTGATCAGCGTAAAATTTTAAGACGTCCGTCCGTCCGTCTGTTTTAATCACAGAGTCAAAACAAATAAACATAGGAAGCAAAAATTTTGTACAGATCAGTATTTTATGTGGAGGCATGTTAAGTTCGAAGATGGGCTATATCGGTCCACGATATCGTATAGCCCCCATACAATTGTACCCCGATATTCGGTATTTTGATGATTTTAGCCACATTTTCTAATGGCATTGTTTGAATATATACACAAGGAGTTCTTTCCGAGTACTTTACCCCTTGGAAGAGAATTTTTCATATAGGTCCACGATATCGTATAGCCCCCATACAACGGTACGCCCCGATATTCGGTGTTTTAATGATTTTAGCAAAATTTTTCAATAAAATTGTCTAAAAGTCTACATAAGGATTTCCTTGTGAGTACTTCATCCCTTGAAAGATTATTCTCTATATAGGTTAACCATATCGTTATCCCCAGTGTGACGGTAGCAACATTTTTAAATTAAATTGTTTAAAAATCCATACTAGAAGTTCTTTCTAAGAGCTTTACTCCCAGGAAGAGAAATAAATATCAAGGTATCGTATAGCCCACATACAACGGTACCACCCGATATTCGATATTTTACGATTTAAGGGACGTTATTTACCGGAGTTGTTTCAAATTGCGTACCTAGAATTCGTAATGGGTACTATAGGCTATGACAGAAAATTGTCTATGCAGGTCCAGGCCTTCGTACAAGCCCCATATATCAGTATCTCCTCATTTCTTCATTCATAGTTTGCCGGTTTTGCCGCATAATATTTTTTTGAGTTGCACAGTGCTTTATATATATATATATATATATATATATATATATATATATATATATATATATATATATATATATATATATATATATATATATTAAAACAAATTAATAAAACTGAAAACACTTTTTTGCCGATTTCTCTAACATCTAGATGTACTCGATTTTTGGATAGATTGCAATGTGAAACCCACATTTATGATTCCACAGGAACAACTTACATGGTTTTGGGCTTATCTCTTTCAAATTGAGAATAAATTGGATTTATAGGTAGAAAGAAGAGCCCAGAATAAACTGGGCTTTCGTCAATCTGCACGCGTTTTCCGACAATTTTAAGGTTTGAAATGGAATTCGTTAGTTAAAATAAAATTTTGATCAGAAAGACTCGCTAATATAATTTTAAAATTAATGCAACTACAATTTATTTAAGAAGAAAATAGATAAAATGAATGAATATATATGATATTATTTTCACAAATTTCAAATGTTGTTGTTGTTTCAAATGGACAAAACCAAGAAATTTCCGACATAACATGCGTATTACAAATAGATTAGTCATCTAGCCAAAGCCGTCAAAAGTTAGTATAATTACCCAAGAGGGACAATTTTTAGATCTCCTTTAAGATTCTTAGGCATCTTCTAAAATATTGAAGAGGTAAATTCTTAAGAAGTGTTAAATTCTGTGTTCGGATTTAAATTTATTTCCCTTCCTTTAGAGACACTTTCAAATGTTTCAATATTGTCAACATAATTTTTTAAATTACCTAATTATTAAATGCATAGTTTAAGCTTTAAATGATCGCCTCTGTAGACTATCTACAAAGAACTATCCTATAGTACCATATATCGATTGTTTTTCCCTTTTTCTGGAAGATTCTTCGAGACTCGTCGTAACAAATTTATTGTATTTAAAATATAAAAGGATAAACTGCATAAAAGTTAATCTCTTGCCTTTAGATTTCTTTGCACTAAGGCAACACTGTTCAACACCGCCGTTACGCAAGAAACGTAAAACCATTTCCATCGTTATTCTCTTAGAGTTCATTAAACACACATATGTGCATATGTAGTGAGACGAAAACTTTATACAATTTACGATAAAGCCTCATTAATACTTTTATTGACTTAAATTGCTGGCAAAGTATAATAATTTAGTGTCAGTCCATTATTATTAGGCTCGGTCTTGGCTAATGTCGTTATTGTGTTTCGGCTCTTTAATAAATAATGAATAAATAGGCCTGCAAGCATTCAGCGAATGAAATCTACATACACACATACATACCTTGATCGGAGGTAAAGTTCAATGTCTGCAAAGAGAGAAAAAACAAAGTAAGTAGAGATGGTGATGGTGGTGGTAAGAAACGTGTCTTTTTTTGGGCATTAGCAAAATTTGCATATTGTAAATATGTATGTATGGCTGTAAGTGGTATTGGTGAAGAATCAAACGTATTAACAGAGAAATATGTTTGTATGGGTGTGTATGCGTGTAACATAAATAATCAAATTGTGGAGCATGTTGATTTCCATATTTTATCAATTCCCAGACCCTGGAACAGTTCCTCTCCGTTCACTTTGAACCTTGCGAAGAAAGTTTACACTCTCGATTATTAATGTGACTTTTATTTATTCCTTGGGGAGTTGCAGTCGAACCCTCATAAAACATTTCTGCCCAGAAAACCACAAAGTACGAAGACACATCCCCAGTGTAAGTGAAATGTTAATATTCCGGGCCAAACTTTGGCGTTTTGGTTTTTGTGGTTTTGCCGGCTGTCAAAGAATGTCGATTAAAAAATTCCAAAGTTGCAAATACCAAATTCCTGACAAATAACATAATCTCTCATCCAATATTTGCTAGTCGTTTTTTTTTTTCTACTGTCAAGATAATAGCAGATAAGAGTCTATATCAATAGATATTTAAAAATATATTATATGTAATGCACAGCTACCAGTAAAAGATTTAAACTTTCTTCTCCTGGATGTGGTGAAAGCCTCGAACGGCTGATGTCATGCATATTTGTGTTGTAACCACTTCTGGTCAGTGGGCAAACGGAAGAATATCTCGGCAAAGTTTTTAAATAAGTCATAAACTTGGCTGGTCGTCGGCTATTGCTGAAATGGATGTTGACTTTCGGAAAAACGAACTTTTTCACTTTGCTAGATGGCTTTAAAGCATTTCCGTGTTCGGCATGACAGTTGTGGTGGACATTAAGTACGAACGAAGTTTGTGATATACGAGCATTTAACAGTAATACATTCCCAAAATAACTGTTAATGGTAATGTCAGCAATAAATACATATCCATGAGAGAATTTAAATGGAATGTTTTTTGAAATCTAAGTATGAACATGTTCATATATTCATATACGGAGGTCGGTTATGTTTATTTTTTTGCGATATTCAGAAGCTTAGCACAAAAAAGCTACTCACATGATTTTGACAAATTAAATTATGGCTGTAATCAAGTCTTTTGCCTTTTATGATATAATTCTTTGACAGTAATAGTTAGACTTTTTTATACCCTTTTATATATATATATATTATTGATAAGCATAAAATTCTATTTAGCGATGTCCGTCCGAGCGTCTGCCCGAGTGATTGATAAAATTTTACTCAAATGTATATTATATCTCCAGGACTTTTGGTATTGAAAATGGGCCATGTAGGTCTACGTTTTGGTTTTTGGTGTAGCCCCCATATAACGGCACCTCTGATATTCGGTATTGTGATGATTTTAGCGACATTATTTACCGGAATTATTACAAATTTTGTATTTGAAGTTCGTTTTATAACCCCAATAATAATCCCTATATTCAATATTTTGATGATTTTAGCTACATTATAAACTGATTTTTTCAAGTTTCTCATTTGAATATTGTAATAGCTTATGACAAAAGTTACCCATGCAGATCCACGTCGTCGTACAGATCCTAATATACGGCTGTGTTCGGTATTTTTATACCCTCCACCATACTATGGAGGGTATATTAATTTTGTCATTCCGATTGTAACTGCTCGAAATACTCATGTCTGACCCAACAAAGTATATATATATATATTCTTGAAGCCGATGGGATCTCCAGCATCACCAATAATTGCAGATTTGGTTATGGAATCATTGCTCAACGAAAGCTTGCAAAGATTACAATCAAAACCAAAGATACTGACGAAATACGTGGATGATTTGTTTTTAATTATAAGGGAAGATGCAATACAAGAAACGCTGACAGTACTAAATAGTTTCAACAAAAACATTAAATTTACTTTGGAAGAAGAATGCGACGGAAAAATCCCATATTTGGACACATTAGTAATAAGAAATGCAGATAATACGATAAATATAAATTGGTATCAAAAACCTACAGCGTCAGGTAGAATAATAAATTACTACTCTAAACACACAAAACGAACAATCAATACAGCGAAAAACTTAATAAATAGAGTACTAACAATAAGCGACGAACAATTTCATTTCCAAAACAAATTAAAAGTAAAAGACATTCTAATTAATAATAACTTCCCATTACATATAACCAAATCCCTAATTGAAAATTATTATAAGAATAAACATTCAAGTCGAGATTCGCAGAAAACAGACCCGCCGAAGATTACAAATCCTTGATATATTTACCGAATATATCAGAAAGATTGGAAAATCAGAAATATATGACAAAAATAAATACACAATAGCACATAGCTCACATAACACAACAAAATCTTTATTCACAAACATGAAAAGTAAAATTCCAAAAATGGACAAACATAATGTAGTTTACAAAATTGAATGTGGTGGTAACAAGGAAGAAAGTTGCGGAAAACTTTACGTTGGCACAACAAAAAACTAACTAAAAACTAGGATGTCAGCACACAAATCAGACATCAAATTAAGAAACAATAATTCGATACAAAAAACAGCGTTAGCCGAACACACCCAAGATCGATGACGTGAGAGTGTTACAAACGGATCATCACTACAACAAGAGACTAACGATAGAGATGCTTCACATCAATAGTTTATCAACAACAAAGAGAATAAACAGCAAAGCAGACACGGACAACACAGCTTACTGCTACAGGCATTTAACAAAAAGAGATCGTGCAATATGCAAATAATTATCAGTGCAATAGTAACACTTGACGGTAGTAGTCACACTACGCTAGTTTTAAGTTTATTATTTTAATTATTTGCAAGTAAGCGCTTTTTTACGTGTTTATGTCCTGTGCTGTGATAATGTTAATATGTTGTATGTTTTGTTATTTAATTTGTAGATCACCCTGAAGACGAAACTCAAAGAGCTTCGAAATATTGAAAAAAAAGAATAAATAATTTAAAAACCAAAAAGTTTGACCTCAAGCTCAAATAATTGCTTTTATTAACTATCCAAAAGGTTGAAAAACCAGAGAAAATATTCTTGATCAGCGTAAAATTCTGAGACGATTTAGCCATGTCCGTCTGTCTGTCTGTCTGTTGTAATCTTTCGAACGAATTGAGATAGAAGGCTAAAATTTTGCACACATGTATATTTTGCCAGTAGGCAGGTTAAGTTCGTCTATTTTAGCGACATTATTCACCGGAATTGTTTCAAATTTGGTATTTGAAGTTCGAAATGGGTACCTTCCAAACTTGGTATTTGAAGTTCGTAATAGATACTGCAGCATAAAACAGAAAATGGGCCATGTAAGTCCACGTCTTTGTATAGCCCCCATATACCGTACCCCCAATATTCTGTATTTTAATGATTTTAGCGACATTATTTACCAGGATTGTTTCAAATTTCGCACGTGAAGTTCGTAATGGATACTTTAGCCCATGCCAGAAAATTATCTGTGCAGGTCCAGGTCTTCGTATAGCCCCCATATAACGATACCCCCTATATTCGGTATTTTGATGATTTTAGCTAATTTGTATGCAATCCTGAGAATTTTTTATAGAGCCAAATTCAGAATTTCTCTTGATATTGACGTTCTTCTCCCCAAATGGTACTGAGTCAGAGAAGAATTTCACAATTTTCAATGATCATAGTCTTTTGATTTGAAAAATACAAAATTCCATTCAACTGAGAATAATTTTGGACTCACATATACCTGAGAATAGTGACCCTAACACATATATTAATACCGATTTAATTAACGCATATTGTCACCTGTCGGAAATAAAGATAAATATATACGAGGGTGTACAAATGTTTGATATTGTTTAAACTCAAATAAGAGCGTAAATACGCTTCAATTGTCAAGAAGTGTTGCAGCCCAATTTGAATGTATCGGTATCAATATATGTGTTAGGGTTACTCTTCTTATGTATATGTGAGTCCAAAATTATTCTCAGTTGAATGGAATTTTGCATTTTTTAAATCAAAAGACTATGATCATTGAAAATTGTGAAATTCTTCTCTGACTCAGTACAATTTGGGGAGAAAAACTTCAATATCAAGAGAAATTCTGAATTTGGCTCTATAAAAAATTCTAAGGATTGCATACAAATTAACATGGACAGATGGAGGGCCACATATCGCTACATCGACTCAGCTTCTCCATATATGATGACTGGTATGCTACTTCGTTGGACCAACTTTACGAAATGTTTCAAAAGTCTTTACTAAAGCACAGTTATAACAATCTCTCCACGTATAGCATATAAAAGAGTCTGCCAAAGACTCTCTATTTGGAAACCTTTCAGCGGACAAATTTGGCCGTGTAAGAAACGTTAGCATGAAAACCAGCTTCTGATTTTGAAGAGTACTTTATTTCTCTCAAAATTATTAAATAAATATTCTCCTCTGCTAGTTTTTATACCCTCCACTATACTTAGTATGAAGGTATATTAAGTTTGTCATTCCGTTTTGTAACTCATCGAAACAATAATTTTAAATATAACCAAGTTTATATATTCGTGATCAGCGTAGAATTCTAAGACGATTTAGCTCCGTCCGTCTATTGTAAATAATAACAAAATTTTATGTGGAGCTAAAATTTTGCACCGATCAGTCTTTTGTCTGCAAACAGGTCAAGTTTGAAGATGAGCTTTATTGGTCCACAATATCGTATAGCCCTCATACAATGGTACCTCCCTTTATCCGGTATTTTGATGACTTTAGCCAGATTTTCCAATGGAATTTTCTTAAAATTAACAAAGCAATTTCTTCTGAGTGCTTTGCCCCCTGAAGAGATTTGTTTACATAGGATATCGCATAGCCTTCACATAACGGCACCCCCCAGGTATAGTAATGATTTTAGCCACATTTTTTAATTGAATCGTCTGAAAATCCACACAAGGAGTTCCTTGTTAGTACTTTATCCTTTGGAAGAG